TCAAAACCCTATAAATTTAACAAATTATTTGCAAAATATTGAGTAAAATTGATAGAATGGCAGAAAAAAAAAAAAAAACTGCAGTCCATTTTTTCTTCACAGACATCAGTTTTTTTTTCTCAAAAATCAAGCTCAAATTGAATACATGTGACGATAAACAACACTATAACGAATCAAAACCCTATAAATTTAACACATTATTTGCAAAATATTGCGTAAAATTGATAGAATGACAGGGAAAAAAAAAAAATGCAGTTCATTTTTTCTTCATAGACATCAGTCGTTTTTTCTCAAAAATAAAACTCAAATTAAATAAATAAAATCAAATTCAATACATGTGATGATAAAAAACACTATAACGAATGAAAAGCCTATAAATTTAACATATTATTTGCAAAATATTGAGTGAATTTGATAGAATGGCGGAAAAAAAAAAACGAAGTTCTTACCTATTTTTCGTGCACCCATGGCTTCAAATTCAAATTTGATATGTATTCGTCCAAAATACTCACAAATTATGAACAAAAACTTCTGAACAACACTCTTACAATCAATAACCCTTAGATTTTACAAAAAATGATGCCCTCTTTTGCTTGAAATCAAAACAATGGCATAACCCTAAAACGTTTTTAGGGTTCTTCACATATCCAAATTGTTTTGATCAAAATCGATGATTTTTACTACCTCTTATTGACTAAAATGGCTGAAAAATTTTAAATAAAGCCTGCAAGATTCAATTATAAAGCTGAAAAAGATGAAAAATGATAAGAAAATAACAAAACACCATGAAAATCGTGAAGAACAATGTGCAGCTCATGTTCTTAGACGAGTCACTGTTGAGACTCAGCGATTCACTATTGGGAATCGCCCTGTTCTCTCTAGACACGGGCGATTCCCAGTATTGTAGTGGAACCGGCACGAGGTATATCGATTCCTGAGTCAAACAGCGACTCACCGAGTTTTCAAACCCTAGTTTAGATAATGCTTTACAAAATGTACTAATTTCATGACTTCAAATCTATTTTTCATATCCACACATCTTGAAGTCGAGATGATCGATTTGAGGGTTTTCCAACAAGTTCTATTTTTTGATGGGTTTTTGAGATGAACCATGCTACAATAGTACAATGTAACTTTATATAAATTTTTTCTAAACCACAATAGTTATTGATAAAAAATTTAAAAAGGGCCCAATTACAATGAGGCCAAGCCCGCAAATGTAGAAATGCAGGCCTCGTAATAAGTCAATTTATAAGATGGATGTAAAGACTTTACTTTTTAAGGACAAAAAATCTCTAAGGTGGAGATCATGAATTTGAGAAAATAAATAAATTTTAAAAATTAGAAATAATAATTCAAGGAAAAAAAAAGTTAGTTTCCATTGTTTTTAGATGGAAAACCGGATGCTTTACTCGTTCTGGACGACATATGTAGAAATGCTGTCCAGCCCGCATGGAACAATTTTCCTTAAAAAAAAAAAAAGACTCGACTTTCACTCTCTCTCCTCATTTTCACTCTCTATAAAACCCATTCATTTTTTATCTCAAAGCTTCACTAAAACAAGCAGAGGCAGTGTTGATTATCTTGTTCTCCGGATTTTGGTCCCATCAAAATCCCCAAGTGTAATGTTCTCGCCCCTGACTCCCCGCTCCCTTTTTCTTTCATAGCAACCGCGATCAATGGATTTTAAGCTTGCAATACGAATTGAGAAATTATGGCATAAATTCATGAGCACAAATTATTCATGAAACAGGTTTCTCAAAAAGAAAGATTTCTTCAAACCCTGCGATCTGATGCACAAGTAATCAAGATTCAAAGAGAAGGTGAAGAGAGACAGAGAGATTTCACTCACAATGAAGAAAAGATGGGCACTGCACTTAAATAATTCCTGAAAGAAATCATTGTATAGAGAGATGAGAAGAGAGAGAGACACACCATGGAACTCTTATTCCTAGCCGAGCGAAATCCCCCACCACCATCGCTGCTCGAAAAAAGCTCGTAAACCTCTTCGCTGTAAATCTCGAGAATAGAAGCCCAACCATGCATCTAAACCCATGCCCTCTGTTCTCTAAACCCTCTTTTCCCCCACTTTCCATCTCCCCAAAGAACCCTGTGCTCGCTTTGAACGACCAAGCATGGCGAAACCCATGCCAGAACAGTAGGCACCATACTAAATCGTTTCCCCTTTTTCACCGTCAATCAAAGCTTCAACAAGCTTTCAATATATACAGAGGTCTACAAACTTGTACTCAATAAAGTTTCCCCACGAAAAATATCTATCGAGTCTTACTAAATATCTTCTTCCTCTACAGCTCAACTCCAATCGCTCCTGCATTCGTACACTATGCGGTCCGGTCAACAGAAATTCTTTTAAGGGTGCGGTTTGTATGGAGCCTAGGCAATAAAACCATCGGAGCCTATTTTTAATTAGTGTCGAAAAATATCATTTTAATATTAAAATTTTTTTTAATAGCTTTACAAAAAAATATATTTATTTATAAAATTTAAAACTTCAAAAATAATGTAGATTGAGAGATTCATGAAAACTTCAAAATCTTAAAATTTAACTGTTCAAAAGTGCATTACAAAATGCATTATTTTTCAAAACTTAAAATTCATTTTTTTATCATGTCCATGATCTTGATATCAAGATGATGAATTTGAAGATAATTGGGGCATCAAAACAATATTAAAAAATTTTAAGTAGACCCAAATTTGATTGTTTAGAACCTCGACATTATATAAATTGTTTTTTTAATAAATAATGACATTATGAGACCCTAACACATCTATTTGAGTAAGATCTCTTATCACTATAAAAACTTAAGGCTAATTTTTTGAGATCCTACTCACATGGTGTAAGAGGTTTTTATAATAATAATATTATTTTTTAATGTAATTATATTATAATTTTAAAATTTTATTTACTTTTTATATTTATGTCTTTTATATAAAAAGTTATATATCTTTTAAAAATTGAGATCAAATTATATTTAAAAACCATATTTATTATCAAACGCATACTGATGCATCGTGTGTTGAGATCTTCGTCCTCCGCAGCTCAAGTCCCATCGCGCCCGGAAAATTATGATCCTTGGGAAAGTTCTCGATAGTCTTATTTTATTTTTGAGCCCATGTAGAATGCTCCCACGATATCATTTTGTACAAAAACTCCTTGCAAAAGGGGGTTTCCCGAGGGTTTTTATATCCAATATT